GACAGATCCAGCAAGATAAGTATTGAAGATTTGGAATCTGCTCTTGCCAGTCTTAGGGCTTCAACAACTGAGAGCAAGGCAGTCTCGGTTGAATGTCCACTTCTGAAACCAGACTGGTTGCTGTCGAGGAGGTTGTTCTGTGTTGTTGTGTGAGAAAGGCTGAGACTTGGTTGAACACAGCTCGTTCAAGTGTTTTTGCAATGAAAGGAAGAAGGGAAACCAGTCTGTAGTTCTCTAAAAGAGATGGGTTAAGGGTGAAATGAAATGAAACTGCAGCAGATTGTCATCATTCAAATCATAAGTCACTTTTCAGTTGAAAATCACGCAGTAATCTAAATACTGATTTAAAAAACGACAATCAAAATTAAAATGGGTTAACTTAGTGGTAAAATTGCTTTGGGCAGGGGAGTCTGTTGGTGCCCTGAATTTCACAACTCTATGACTTTGTGAGTTATATTAGATCTGACCTTACCAACCTTATTCAAGGAGGAAAAATGTGAGCTATATATTTTCTGTCAAAGGGTTCATAAATAGAAGTGTGTCTGGTAAAGGTAGCTAGCAGACTAGCTAATTTGTTATAAATGTTTTGAATATAGGTATCGAATACACTATGGGGTCAATGAATGCGCTGGCACTTTTTGGTGGATTTTTTCCACATAAGTTAGCAGCTACAGTAAATCGACTTAAACGACTCTGTCACTTTTTATTATACAGAAACGAATAATATATCATTAGAAACTAAAGGGTCTGTTTTTATTTCTGTACACTCACATTAACAACAAAAACTATATGCTTTTATAAAATAAAGAAAGGCTAGGTTACATACCTGCAGATGCTTCCTCAGGTTCGACATTGAAGCCTTTGATGTTGAAAGCATTTTAACAGCTGGCAAACAAATTTTGCAATGAACTGCTATATTTGCGCCCTTATCGGATTTCAGGATGAAATTATTTTTACATTTCCAGCACTGAAATGCATTTTTATCACTCGCCATGGTGGCAACTCTCAGACAGGTTGTAGTAGCCTAAAGCTTTTTAGTGGCAATGTGGATTAACGTAATTGGCAGACGTGGTGCGCCGCAAATTCAAACCAGAGAACCAATCAAAAGCATCAGAATAGCACCACTTTAATAAACGGCCTTAGCACAAGGCATAGTGCAAATCAAAAACAGACAAAGCAATAAATTAATATTTAACCTATCCTAGGTTTTTAAAGAAAATATTCAGATGTAACCCTATTTGTAATCTTTAACATTTTCATAAGTAACTCTAATTTAATTACCCATTTTTTCTCAGTAACTGTAACGAATTACTGTTACATTTATTTTGTAATTAAATTACGTAACGCTGTTACATGTAACTAGTTACATGTAACTAGTTACTCCCCAACACTGTCCAACCCCATACCCAAACTTAACTACCTTACTATCTATTAATGTGCTGCAAATTAGGTGTTTAATGAGGCAAAGTTGTAGTTAATAGTGAGAATTATGCCTTAATTAAGTGTGACTAAATAATCCAATCAAGTATGTTTTATGCCATGGTTTATGTCATCTTTTCATGTGCAGTTCTGGTCTCTGTTCAGGCTTCCCTTTGTTACTTCTTGATTGTGTGCACCTGTTTCTTGTTAGTTTTTTCAACCTGTGTGTATATATAGCCCTTGTGTTTCCTATGTTCCTTGTGAAGTCATGTTTATGGCTGTTGTGTATGGTGAGCCTAGTTCTGATAAAATAAAGTCTATATTTTACAGTGTTTGAAGATTGTGACATAAAATGCCGTTAAAAGGACTGAATGATAAAATGTGTACAAAATAAACTGAACACAAAATAATTATAGAATTGAAACTGCATTTGCATAGGTCAGCAGAACCGTACTGATCCGGTGTTTGAAACACTGAGAGTGGGTGTAATCATGGCCAATAAAGAGAGAAAGAAAGGTTCTGAGGACAAAAAGAATGTAAGCGGTCACATTCTGCTGTCAGGAATTATCAAACATGTACCTGAGGTCTTCCTGTTATGAAGAATATAATGAATCTTTTCTTAAGATGATGATGATGATGATGGAGGAGGAGGAAGCTCAACAACCGAAAGAGGATGAAGAGGGTGGTGAGGGTAAGTTAAATTTTTTGTTCTCTGTATGGCAAAATTCCGCAGGTAAAATGCAGTCATGGCATTAGGAATCCACGAGATTGAGAATTTAATTTGAGGGGCATGTGAGGTGAAAAATTTCCCCATGCACATTTGACATCAAGTTCAACAGGCAAAGTTGCCACATTTACCCATATAAAACTGCTTGGTTCTTCTTCCAACGTCTGGACAGCTGGGGAACCTGCATAATAACCTTCTCCTCTTCTCTGCTGTCTATATACCATAATTAATTAGTTTAGATTCCACCTCCACTGTTATTCAGTTAATTGTTGTTTATACATTCGTTATCTGATTTTTGCTCTTGTCACTTTATATGTCATTCATTTTCTTTCTCCATATACGTGTATGTGTCGTTTCAGTGTTTAATGCATTATATTCTTTTCACATACATATTTGTATGGGCTGGATTTAATTGTCCATATAATACATTGTTCCAAATTCGAATAGGCTTTGTATATATATTGCATTTATATGGCTCTCTAGCATTCACTAGAGATTCCTGCAGCGTGCTTTCAGAGTTTCTCTGAAACTGAACAACTAAGATAAGTAAACGGTCTTCACTCTGATTCAGTGGATTATTGCGTTCGTCAGATTTACATTTTTAAACTAGAAAACATACAAGTTGTAAAACTACGCGCAGTTTATTTGCGTGAGGAGTAATTACTAAGCATGTCTTGTTCATACAACAGCAGTAGCATTAGCAGCAGCAGCAAGCAGTTTTCCTAGTTCATGTATGTGGGAATACTACGTCAAGCATCATGGATTTAGAATAGTAAAGTGAATTGGGGATTACCTTATTTGCCCGCAATCTCCAATGCTTTTGATATCTTCTGTGGGCATTCATTTCTACATTAACCGTGAACGGATCGCTTTCAGATGCACACCTCACTAGTGGGGTTGGTTTGCAGTTGGAGTTTCACAGTTGTTCACAGTTTAAGTCAAGGTGAACCCATATAAATTTCTTTCATAAACGTCATACTGTCAACAGCCTTACCTATTTAACCATAACAACTTAATGAGCAGCAGAAAATAATATACCCGCTCATA